TGACATAAACATCCTCCGCTTAGGTATAATACTTGTGCATTAATGTATAGCTCACTAAAGCAATGAACTGAGAAAGACAAAGAAAGCAGAATGAAGTTTCACGTTGATGCCGAGTCTCATCCGTCTTAATGTTTCATGTAAGACATTCGAGACACCAGATAACATTTCGACAGTGAGCTGCTTCACTATCCAGACTATAAGCTGCTGGTTCTTGTCACAAGCTTTCCAAGTGTTTGGCTTTGCCAGTTCCTTGAAATGCAAGGCACTGACAATTACTTGATAAGCCTTCTTGGAAGTGGAGAAACATGAGGAAAGAGTTGATTTGCTTCAGAAATAAACTGTTTTTCTTGTTCGTGTTTGTTACTCCACCACACTTATAGTCTGGCTGTACAGAAGGGTGAGAGGTTTTCACCCTACCCCTGCGAAGATATTGACTGCGCATCATTGGAAGCGGATGACATAAGTATCTGACAAATGTTTACTGGTTGACAAATGGGCTGGAATAGAGAAGAGGGTAACAGTGAGGTTCGCTGGCTGATGGACCAACAACAGCACAAGTAAGAGTAGCCTACAGACTGGGTGTACCACATGCTTTTTACACTGCCTCCATCTGACAAGAGCTAACTGTAGGCAGATGGGCATCCCCTGAGTGGAAAGGACAGCGAATGCACTACCACTGCTTGACCATAAATCTGGCTGTACCCTCTGCTATCTCCCCTTATCTTCTACAGTATGATAAGACCAGCCTAAGTGACAAGTGGCATGGGTTGATGGACCACACTAGCTGCCACTTTCCTGTCGCCTGAGAACAGGAAACCGTGACTAAAATTCTCACACGGGTTAATCTTATTCTACTAATGGTTCGGACTGCTGATGGTTGTGTAATGACATGGGATCCATCTCTGATGGCTGATTCCAGCAGGTGCACCAAACATGTTCTTGTCAGTAAAACTGTTTCTCTTGAATCATCTCAAACTAATTTCTTGAACATGACATTAAGTTGACCGTACACAAATGGACTCCACGATCACCCGCACCTTGTTGAATGTATGGCATGAAGAGCAAAGGCAAAAAGAGATCCACCACCATAATGAAAAAGTGTACCTAATGAAGTGTTTAGTGGATGTGTAGCTTACCCTTGGTTACAATCTTTCAGTTTTCTATTTACGCTCCATCCTCCTCCTCATCTATCTCAAATCTCTCTTTGATCATCGCTCTCTAATGTCCGTCTGTCAGTCCCTCACAGCCAGCTTTACCCAGCGTTCCCAGCCTTACTCTCCACTTTTCTTCTTCTCAGTAATCTCCCTCTCGTCTCTCCCCGTCTCAATCTTTCACGTCTTATCTTTCACTGTTTCACAGTTGACTAAACACTTTTTCTTCACCTTCATCTGTTTTTCCTCTCCATCCCTAATCTCTCCTCTTTTATCTCAATCTCTCACTGTTTTACACTCGGCTACAATTTTCCTACCCTTATTTTCTTTTCTCTCTCTCTCTAATCTCTCAAACCTTATCTCCATCTTTCTTATGTTCACAGTGGAAACTTCTGCTCTTACTAAGGAGATTGCTTTGCAGTTAAGCAATTATTGAGTATACAGTTCCAGGTACAGCACAATGGCAGAATCCCATCAAACCTCGCTGCCTAAAAACTGGAGTCTACACCGCTGCCATAAAAAACACACAGACAAGTGGCATGAAATTAAATGAAAGTCTTGGATGCACAGCACACTGCTTGGCAGTGATGTCATCGGAAAAAGCTGTCAAAAAAAAGCACAGCATTGTTAGGAGGTAAGAAAACCAGTCATACCTAGCATAATATTAAATAAACAATAATTCCCTCTTTTATAAAAGAATTCTGTTCATTATAACTAAATGGTGCTACTGGTACACTTCAAAAATTTAAAGAAATAATCAATAAAATGCACGACCCACAGTATTTTTACATGAGTTAGTAAATCTATTCACTTAACTCCTTGGAATAAGTAAATGTGAAGTCATTATGAACAAAGCAAAGACAGCTGATGAGGCTGCCGTCCTCATGCACCTGGTGTGTTAAAGCTTAGGTGTACAGCCCACCTGGCAGTAAAGCTTAACTTAGCATCAAAAGTTTCCTGACCAGCATTCAGACTACTAATGAAATACGTTAGCACAAAAGCTCTAACCGTTGTTTCCATTACAGGCAGAAGTAAGCCGTGCAAGCATGTGTGTGTTTGCAACTAGGGGATAAGACAAGAATGCAAACAGCAGGTGTCCAGGGAATTAATATCCCATTCAACAAAGACGTGCACACACAGGCAGAGACAGCCCCCCACCACATCTCACTCTAGACCACTGAGAAGTGAACTTTGCAGTCTGGCTGCCTTAGAGCGACACACGGGTTGACTTTACGGTGACAAATGCATAGTGTGTGTGAGGTGGAGGCGGCAGGACTGATTTGCCTTCAGGACAATATTATTGGTTGGCTACACCATTGACAATGAG